TGTGATATCTACAGGCCATATAGATCTATATCTGGTCCCGTTTCACTTTGATTACCCTGTCAAACAAGTCAGCCTTCGCCCCTGATCAAATGTACTGATTCAATGTCTTGGTTTGCACACAACTTCCTCTCTTGGTTTAATGAGAAAAACCGTCGATGAGGTTCGTGTCCTCGAATTTGCCCAGCACTACTGGATAGCCTTCACCACCTCCTTTTCAGGTCTCTAACCACGTTCTGTCGTCTGCTTTCGTCCCCAATTGCTGCACCCCCCCCCTTCCACCTTGTGGGCTCCTACTCTTTCTGCAGCCTGTCTGCTGCTACCCCTTGGCTCATACTTACTGCTGTCTTTCAGCCACACACTGATCTTAGGGTTGGTAAGATCTTACACCAAGCCTTCTTGGATATGGTCTAAAATATCTCAGAGGTCCCGTGTGCAAATGGCACACGTTAAAGATGCCTCGGTGGTCCTAAAATCGATAAGAGCAGGCTTCGGCTAGCGGCAAGGCAAAATTCAAAGTTAATTCCTACCAAACAGAAAATATCTAATGTGTCCCGCATGCTACTAAAACGTTATGCAGTTGCGAGCATTGTAAAACACTTACCAAAAACAAAACAAAAACAAAAAACAACCCAAAACGCCGGCGCTTAACAACCATTGTATAGTCAGCACCCACGTGTACCACCATCAGAAAAAACCCAACATTTTTAATGTCCTGGCAACAGTTGAAACGTGGGGAGAATGCGGATGGCTCGGTTTCTCTGATGTTGAGTTAAAACTACTATCTTTCTCTGGGAACAATGATCAAATTATGTTATCACGGTTTTAAACGAATTCCTAAACTATATGAAGAAAATAAAGAATAGAAAAAAACCCACCGCATATTAGGGGAAAAAATGCCTGACTGCCATTGTTTAATGTTGGCGCTATGAACGCTAATTGAAGCACCAAAATGCCATTTTTATAACATTACCCACTTTTTATACTACATAGTTTTAACGAGAAAGGAAAAGCTAAAAGACTCAAAACTAGATTATTTCTCTAAATCAAAAAGTGGTAATTTTTCTTTTCGATCGCCAGTATAATATGTAGAGAAAAGCAGCCAAAGCAATGACTTGTTTCTGACCTACAGGTTGCAGCCAAGTCTATGGTCAAGACGTAGACATAACCGACGATTTAATCACTCCGGACATTGCAAACTCCAGCCAGGTACCTATTACCAACGGTGCCACCGAAGAGCTAGACGACGATGAAAACTCTACACAAACTATCAATACAGAAAATAATGATGATGGTGAAGGAACAAACTTTATTGTGGGGGGCCAGAGAGCGGGCAGGAGATTGCATCCTTGGATGGTGTCAGTTCAGGTTAGAAGTATTTTTTTGTACAATTGTAATCATTGTTGACTAATAGAGATGACTATTCCTGGACTGTGTGCGTGCATACGATCTCTCTCTCTCTCTCTCTCTCTCTCTCT